CAATTTACTTTTTGTTATTTCAAATTTCATAAACAAACAAACTTTGATAAATCATCCTTAAACTCATAGAAACTATTAAACGGTCTTTGAAATACAACCAGTTTATGTGAAGATAACAGTTGTGTGAACAACACTCCCTAATCCATTCTTTTACATTTCACTCCACACCGATCTATTTTACTTCATTCATTTTATGATATCTAAATATAGCCTAATTTATCCATGTATGAAAAAAAGACCATACAAGTGAATCACACCACGAAGTGGGAAGATAATTTCCCACGAGATGGAAAAGAAAGAGAATATTAAAGAAGCTTTAGAGTAATGAATTCATCATTTATAGTAGCTTTGATTAAGTATGATCTAAATAAATAATATATAAATGTCTTATTCATACGAAGATTAACGCCGACCACTTAATAACTTAAACAACAGTTGTATAAAAAAAACCATCTAATTGTTAGACTTACTGATCAGACTTCTGTATAATATAGCTTCTGTATATTGCTCTTAACAAAATAAGTTACACACTTGGTCCTTTATAGACCCAAATAAAACTAATACAATTCTAAACATAAATTCAAAACATAACTGTTACTATCATAACTAATAAAACTATTGCCCTTCCTACTACCATACTTAATACAAATCATTTATTTCAAACACATTTAATGTTTATTTAACAAAACTCCTCTTTAAACTTTAAATGCTTCTTCGATCTAGCATTCCAATCATCTTCTTGCCTCTTTCGAATACTTCTTTTGATAGTGGTTTTGTGAAGATATCAGCTGCTTGGTTTCTGCTTGCTACATGCCTTAGTTCCACGCTTCCCTCCTTCACATGTTCACGAATAAAGTGAAATCGAACGTCTATATGCTTGCTTCGTTCATGATTCACTGGGTTCTTTGCCAATTCAATAGCTAATTTATTATCCACTTGTATTATTGTTGAACCTTCATGTTTCAGCTCCATCTTGCTTATCAACCTTCTGAGCCATACTGCATGACAGACGCACCAGGATGCTGCCACATATTCTGCTTCACACGTTGAAAGTGTCACTATAGGCTGCTTCTTCAATAGCCAAGTGAAAGCTGTGTTTCCCATGAAAAATACATATCCTGCAGTGCTCTTTCGATCGTCAATGTCTCCACACCAGTCACTGTCAGAATAACCCACTAGCTTGTAGTCTTCTGTCTTTGAATAAAACATCCCAAGTGATATTGTTCCTTGGATGTATCTTAGAATTCGTTTCAGCGCCTTCCAATGAGTGTATACTGGTTCCTCCATGAATCTTCTCACTATGCCAACACAGTGAAATATCTGGCCTTGTGCATATCAGATATCGAAGGCTACCTACCAAGCTTCGATATTTGCTTCCTTCGACCCGTTCTCCTCCATCAAACTTTGACAGCTTTGTACCTGGCTCCATTGGCGTTGAAGTTGGATTGCAATTCTTCATTTTATATTTTTCTAAGATATCCTTTGCATACTTTTCTTGTGATATGAAGATTCCAGCTTCTTCCTGTCGAACCTCCAGACCAAGAAAAAATCTCATCAGACCTAAGTCTGTCATTTCGAATTCGCTTGTCATGGTGCCTTTGAAGTCTTCGATCATCTGAACATTATTGCCTAAAAAGATAAGATCATCTACATAAAGAGCAACAAGTAATAAATCACTTCCATTTTTCTTCACATAGAGGGCTGGTTCATAAGGACATTGTTCGAATCCATTCTCCTTGAAATATGAGTCAATACGTGTGTTCCACGTCCTAGGTGCTTGCTTCAGCCCATACAATGCTTTCTTCAGTTTCAACACCTTCTTCTCTTCTCCAGTCCTCATATATCCAAGTGGTTGTTCGACATAGATTTCTTCTTCGAGCACACCATTCAAAAATGTTGTCTTGACATCCATTTGAAATATTGGCCATTTGAACTGAGCAGCTTGAGAGATGAGTAGTCGAATTGTCTCCATTCTTGCAACAGGCACGAACACTTCGTCATAGTCAATTCCTGCTTTCTTCTTGTATCCCTTCGCAACCAGCCGTGCCTTGAATCTTTCAATTTCTCCTTGAGCATTCATCTTTTTCTTAAATACCCACTTTACACCAATGGGTTGACTTCCTTTTGGTAATTCGACCAGCTCCCAAGTATTGTTGCGTTCGATTGCTCTAATCTCTTCGTCCATGGCATTTTTCCACTTCTCATCTCTTAACGCTTCTTCAACACTGATGTCTTCAGCATCTGCCAGAAGGCACACAAGATGCACCTCACTTGTTGAATCATACAAGTCTTGCAAACTTCTCATTCTGGGTTGTAGAGGTTCATCTCCATCTTCTGTTTCTTCAAGTTCTTTTGGAATACTTGTTGGTACAGCTATAGTTTTTTCTTCGACTGTGTCAACAACCTCAGTCGAAATGTTCCAGTCCCACTTGCTGGCTTCGTTCATCCGAACATCTCTGCTCACAATCACTTTCTTGCTTATGGGATTGAAGAGCTTGTACCCTTTAGTCTTCTCATCATATCCTATGAATATGTACTTCTGAATTTTGTCTTCAAGCTTTGGTCTTCGTTGGTCTGGTACATGTGCATAAGCTATGCTACCAAATACTTTGAGATGGGAGATTGTTGGCTTCTGTCCACTCCATGCTTCTTGTGGTGTTTTGTCTTCTAACTTCGAATGTGGACACCTATTCTGAATATAAACAGCACATTGTACTGCTTCTACCCAGAACTCTTTCGACATGTTCTTGCTTTTGAGCATTGATCGAACCATGTCAAAGATAGTTCGATTCTTCCTTTCAGCCACACCATTTTGCTGAGGTGAATATGGTGCAGTTAGAAATCTCCTTATGCCCTGTTCTTCACAGTACTTCACAAAGGCCATCGAAGTATACTCTTCTCCTCTGTCAGATCGAATTGCTTTGATGTGTCTGTCTGTTGCCTTCTCCACCATTACTTTGAATTTCTTGAATACTTCTAATGCTTCAGATTTTTCTTTCAGGAAGTAGACCCAGGTTTTTCTTGAGAAGTCATCAATGAAGGAAATGAAGTATCTTTTTCCACTGAAGGATTCTGGAGTGATTGGTCCACATATGTCAGTATGTATTAATTCGAGTATCTGTTTAGCTTGATACTCTGTCTTCTTTTGAAATGAAGTTCTTGTTTGTTTGCTGAGCACACATTCTTCACAGAATTTTCCTTCGAACTCCATGTCTGGTAATCCATGCACCATGTTCCTTTTTGCCAACCTTCTCAGACCAGCATGATGTAGATGACCAAAGCGCATGTGCCATAGTGACGCTTTGTCTTGCACTTCGATCTGTAGACATTTCTCTCGAATGTTCCTCAGGTTCAGTTTATACATTCGATTCCTTTCCATTTCGACAGCGGCAATCAGATATCCTGTTTTGTCCTTCAACTGAAGTGTTCGATCTTTCATCAGAATCGAAGCACCTTTTCTGTGAGTTGTCCCAGACTTAATATGTTGGTATTAAGATCTAGTACATAGTATACGTCTTCGATTGATCCAATCAAGCCATCCTTCTGCAAGTAGCTGATTGTGCCCTTTTCTTCAACCTTCACTTTCGATGCATCTCCAAAAGACACACTGCCATCTTCAATTCCCTTCATATCTTTAAACAGGTGTTTGTAACCACACATGTGATTACTTGCTCCTGAGTCAAGATACCAAATACTGTCATTGGTGTTGATTTCGTTTTGGGCCATCAGGAGAAACCCTTCATTCGATTCAGCTTCCAAGGCTAGATTGGTTGTCTCTTCACTCTTCTTTTCATTTCGACAGTCTTTTGCAAGATGTCCCACTTTGTCACAGTTATAACATTTGTAGGAGTTGCAATCCTTCGCGTAATGACCATACTTCCCACACTTGTAGCATTCGAAATTGGAATAATTCGAACGACCACCTTTTTGACCACGTCCTCTGCCACGCCAATTTTGTTGGCTCGAATTTCCTCTTTTGAAGTTGCTACCTCTACCACTTCGACCACTGTCACGACCTCCACGTCCACGTCCTCTTCCTCGAAAGTTGTGAGAAAAGAGTACCTTTTCATCTTTGTTCGATTCTTTTGTTTGATTTGCTTCTTCGTCTGCTTCTTCTTTCTTCTTCATCTTTCTTTGTTCATGTACTTCGAGCGAACCAGTGAGCTCTTCGATTGAGAGCGTCGAAAGGTCCTTCGACTCTTCTATTGCACATACAAGATTTTCAAATTTGTCTGTTAAAGATCTTAAGATCTTTTCAACAACTCTTGCATCAGCTACTGTCTCTCCATTTCTTGTGAGTTGATTCACCACCTTCTGCACACGAGTGATGTAATCAGATACATTTTATGTATCCTTCATCTGTATCCTCTCCAATTCGCCACGAAGCGTTTGGAGTCGAACCTGCTACACTCTATCTGCTCCTTTGAACACCTTTTCTAACGTGTCCCACGCTTGTTTCGACGTAGTCGAACTAGCAATCTTCTCGAAGCCTGATTCATCCACAGTCCTGAACAACATATATAATGTTGTTTTGTCCTTCGCTCGCGTCTCTTTCAACGCCTTTGTTTGAGCTGCTGTAAATCCCCCAACTTCTGTTGGTTCTTCAAACCCATCATTGGTCACTTCCCACGCGTCTAGAGATCCAAGAAGAGCTTTCATTTGGATACTCCAGTTTTCATAGTTTGACTTCGTTAGCCGTGGTAACGGCATTTGGTTCATCATGTTCGCCATGAGCTCTGATGTCAAATTGTTAGATTTACTGATCAAACTTCTGTATAATATAGCTTCTGTATATTGCTCTTAACAAAATAAGTTACACACTTGGTCCTTTATAGACTCAAATAAAACTAATACAATTCTAAACATAAATTCAAAACATAACTGCTACTATCATAACTAATAAAACTATTGCCCTTCCTACTACCATACTTAATACAAATCATTTATTTCAAACACATTTAATGTTTATTCAACACTAATACATTAGCTTAATCCAAATATTAATCAATCATTTGCAATTGATCATCAGGTTTTATTACAGACCCCTTGTTTACACGTGAGTTAGCCTTCCCTGCCTGTACAATTTCATACAATGAAAACAAACACACACATTAATTAATACGAAAGGACATATTAAACTAAAGAATTTAAAAGAGATGCACTAACATAACATAATTAAAATTTAAATTGAAGTGTATAAAGTATACCTCTTTTTCCCAATCACATCGTACTGTTATTATGATGAGTATCAACGTTTGGATTAATGTTCCACCAAATAGCATCCCACCCCATATGCCCTAATGTCACCATATATTAAGATATTATTCAAAGCTCAAACATAATATAAGTGATTTTCTAATGAATTATTATTACTTACTTCAACACCAGTGTTGAAAACCCATCCCATGATAATTCCAAGTGGTAGCCCAATTAGATAGTAGCATCCAATATTTACGTATGCCACAAATACTTGCCATCCCGAACCAACAGCTACACCTGCAAGAATGCATGCATTTTTATAATTAAGCATTAACCATAATTACTTTTTTGAATGAAGTTGATCGGTCTTTTTTACCTGATAGAACAGGTTGAACACTATTGAGAACAATGCTGACTCCCAAGAGAATTGACATATCATTAACAGTTTGAAGAACATAAGTGCTCGAGGTGAAAATATATGCAAACTCTCTTTTGAATATCACTATAAGAATACAAAAGATTAATCCAATCACTGTTGATTGTACGAGTGATACTTGCATTGCGAATTTTGCTGACTTCCATTTTCCTGCTCCAAGTTCGTTCGCCACTCGCACCCTATAATATAATTTGTGTCATCATTTGATAAATTTCACTAGAATAAATTATGTTAAACATTTAATTTTTCACTCTTCGCTAGTAGAATACCTTACACGCCATCAACCAATCACATATGGATAATCCACTATGCTTCAGTATTGTTGTTACTCTAAGAAAATATCGATCTTAAATGTTTTTTTTTTCAAACTAAAAAATTATTAATTTTAATATAAAGTGAATGTTTTCTCCATTTTCTTCTCATACGAGAGGTGAAATGAAGAATCAATTCTGTTCTATAATTTTACTTCAATTTCAATGCAAATGATATTGTAAAAATAGCATACCCGGTACCGGCAAAGAAGGCAAATGGAATCATCATTTCCCATCCATTGATGGTCATACTGCAAAACCAATTTCAATACTGTAATAACTAATAAATATAAAACTTGTAAATCTCAAATACTTGTTACTCACTAATAACTTACCATACAGACAATGCATCAACAGCAACTGTTGCATTTTCTAATCGACCAGTCATAAGCAGCAGTATCCTGTAATACCAATTCTCTAAACAAAGCATCACCCCTGAAGCAAGAGAGAGTTTGAAGAATTCCCAAAGGCCAGAAAATGCTTCCATTGAAAAACCATTCCAAGTCAAAGGACAACCCCCACAAACTGTGTACCCAAACATCCCAATTACCAATACCCACCATGAAACATCCAAAGCTATTGCAGCACCAATAAGCCCAAAATCCCAAACATAAACCAACAACCAACTCAATACAACATTCACCACTAAACCCAAAAGAGAAACCCATGCAATCACACCTGTTTTCAGCTGGCACTGTAGAAACCTCTGAAGAGGAAACTGAAACGCAAAACTGAAATGCAATGGTATAAGCCATATAGCTACAATACCACTCGATTCCGCCACCTCATGAGGTTGTCCTATGAGTTTCAGAAATGGAGTAGCAAAGACATAAAACGGCAACAGAAGAAAACAACATACGAAGAGAACAATCCATGATCTTTGCAGATATATTCCTAACATGTTATGTCGTTTTGCACCAAACGCTTGTCCACAAAGTGTCTCCAACGCGCTTGCCATTCCCAACTATATTTTCCATCATAGAAAACATCACATCATTCCACAAGAAAATTGCAGCATAATATAATGGTAGGAAGAAGAGCTTACGAGGAGGCCAAAGTTGAAGCCGACGATCACAGTGTTGGCGATGGTGATGGAGGCGAGTTGAACTTCACCTAGGTGTCCCGCGAAAGCTTGACTAACCACGTTCATGGTGAATGATGCGATGCTGCTCAAGATAGCGGGACCCACTATCACCCATAATTTCTTTGTTTCAATCCATAGTTTCTTCCCAAATCTTTCTTCTTCTTCTTCCTCTGAAACCTGTTTTTGCAACCTGTTATTAGTATCATTCTCTCTATCGATGCTACCCATTGTGATAAAACCTCTTTGGAGAAATGAATTGTGTTGTGTGTGTTTAAATATACACACGTCTCATCACTATTACAAATATTAAAGTTTTTTTTAATTAATTGAATAATTGATATAGGTAAAATATAATAATGATCAAATATATTAATTATTTAATAAATTAAAAAAATATATTTATTATTTATAATAATAACTGTAATTCTTATAAATACATTGACAAGGTAAAACAGTTTTATATTATCAGTTTTATATTATCAGTTAAATCATAACCGTTAATTATATATATATATATAAAATTCCGAATTAGATTTCCAAAAGACTTCGATTTCCAAAGACTTGGTTCAGTCTCAAATTGAGTCAAGCTATCACCCATCAAAATTCTATATTACTTGAGTCAAGCTAACACCCATCAAAATTTTATATTATTAATTTTTGTTTACATTCATGATATTTTTCTATATAAGTTAGGTATACAATTCTGAATTGGATTTCTAAATATTTGGTTTCAGCCTCAAATTGAGTCAAGCCACCGCCGATCAAAATTCTATCATTTTTGTTTACATTCATGATATTTTTCTCTTATGTTCTTAACGTTCATGATATTTTATTACATTAAAATAAATGTTAACTTGTTTTTTAGTTGTTAGACGAATATTCAAATTCCTTATATTCAAATTTTAGACAAATACATTTAATTTTTGTTTTATGTGTTTAAATGCACATAAGGGACAAAATCTCTCATGCTACATCAATTAAAATATTATTATATGATATTTTTTAAAATTTAATAATAAAAAAATTTTAAATTTTATTTTAATATACTAGATACGTTCTACTCATAATTACTAAAATAAAATATTTTTATTTATATATTTCACAAATTAATCTGTATTTTATTTTTCATATATTTATCATTATTATATTTTATTTATCATCTTTTTCGTACAAACTATATAATATAAAATATTAACTATAAGACACAAATTATTTGATTGAATTCATTATCTCTCAAACTATTTAATTGACAATTTAATATCTCTATTATTACACTAATTAAAATATGATGTAGCATTCTTTAAAATTTATTGATAGAAATTTTTTAAGATTTATTTTAATATTATTTAAAATAAAATGTTTAAATAATATTTTCAAATTTAACTTATAGCTTTGTAATAGACAAACAAATATTTTTCTCAAATATAATTCTTAATTGTAATTATAATTACTTGTTAAAAATTAATCATCAAATATAAAATTGAATAATTAGTTTTTAAGCATATTACATTTAAATGTCCAACAATATATTAGAAAACTATGAATATTTAAAATAAAAAAGACAATTTAATTGAATTAAATAAATTGTATACATAAAAATTATTTGTATAATGAAAGGCAAACACACAACAACATTTTTGTTTGTGTCTATCATCTTCCTTTGGCACAAAATACATAATAATATTTTATTCCATAAAAATTTTAAACAAAAGTTAAAAAATAAAATGAGTATTATATTGTTTAAAATATATCTGTCTATTATCTATTATAATTCCGAGACACAAATTATTTGATTGAACTCATCATCTTTCAAACTATTTGATTGTCAATTTCATATTTCATGATGTACTAATTAAAATATGATGTGACATTATTCAAAGTTTATCAATAAAAAATTTTTAATATCTATTTTAACATTTCTTAAAATAAAATAATTAAATAATTCTTTCAAATATAACTCATAACTTTGCAATAGACAAATAAATGTCTTTCTAAGATATAGCTGTAATTCTCAATTGTAATTATAGTTTTTTTTTTTGGAAAAAAGAAAACTTTATATATATATAAAACAATGTCAATACAAGCCGATCACAACGGCTCTAGGCCAACAAACTGTCATACCTCAAATTTGTCCACATTGACACTACGGTCAAAATTAATTTCAAACTTGAATTTTTATAAAATTCTTTTAATTTACATTAATATTTTGGGGTTTTATAAATATTCGTTCTCAAGTTCAGTTAAAAATATAATAATTTATTTTAAATTATTTGTATTTTTAAAATATCAAATATTTGCACACTTTTCATATACTTTCAATTGGATTATGTATAAATGAGTAACATAGCACAATTTGTTAAAGAATGAAGCTTGTAAATATGAAGATCACAGGTTCGAATCCTTTGTGGTGCATTTTTAACATTTTTTCTATTTTTTTTTTCACTAATTTTCTTTATTTTTTTGGAGATAAGGCTTTGGGCATTTCATTTTATTTTGGAGAACTTAGTATCCATGTATTTTTAACCTAATTCTAAGTCTATAAATATGATTAATTATTGTCCTAATTTTTCATTAACAATTTCATCTTACAAATCAACAATCATATCATTCACATATCCACAAAATTTCCAATCACACACAAACTTTTATTTTGATTTATTTTAAGGTTTATAATCATGTTGTTGTCTATATCAAATAACAACGACAATTTATTTATTCTTGATCAAGAATTTTATATGAAGTTCCCTTTTTTATTTTAATTTATTTACATTAAATAATGAACATGATGGTAATCCCTTAAAAATTTGCTGATTGTTTCTACCCTATAAATATATTATTTGATAATAGTTGATTTAATTATATTTTTTTACTATATTTAATTATATTTTTGCAGAGGTCAATTTTTCACACTTTTATTCATTAAACTACACACTTCAGCAATCCTTATTATTTTGTTTCTTCACGTACATAGCCCACAAAAAATTAACAATTTTCTAACTCTTGAAAACAATTCCACACATTGTTCATAAACTTGTTTTGGTCGATCCTTATTCACAATTTTTGGTCCATATATACACAAAGCCAACTTTTTGTTTTTTTCATAAACCAGACAAAGTCACTCTTAAAGACAAAAAAAAACTTTTTTATTCAAAATCTTTAATTTTTGTTTGTTTTGTACATAAAATTATACAATGTTTATTCTAGGAAAACTTCTATTTCTTTGAGTCAATCAAAATCAGCCAAAAAAGGTGTCATGTAAAATTTTTTTACAGTAGAAACACCATTTTATCATCTATATCAATGTCTCAAACTATACAAGCATAAAGTGAATGTTTTGAAAACAAAACTCTAACTAATATCAACTTCAAAACACTGTTACTGTAAATCATTAGAACCATCAGTAATACTTAAAATCTTTACAGTAAAAAATTCAACAATACCACTATCATTATTTACCTTGGTGTTTTTTGTGTTTGCATGAGAAACAGAAGAAGCAAAATCTGCCGTGAGCTCGACATCAAACATCGTTGTTGGCATTCCGTTGTTCAGCCACACACGGCGACCCACAAACGTAGCATCTCCTTCGCAACTGTTGCACCTCCGCTGTGAAGAGACCGGTGCCAACAACAAACATGACCATGACTTCATCGTAGCCGCACATCCTCGGAGCCTCCGTCCGCCGTGAACTTCTCACGATCTGCACCACGCAGTAGATAGGCGCATCACGCCTAACAACAGCCACCGTCATTGCTGAACCTGCCACCACCGACGACTAAGTTGCCCCCGATTTTCAGATCACGCGCTCACCACAATACACCGCTGCGAGCAGAGCCTCTCTGACTGTCATTCCGCCACGAGTCACTCAGAAGCCACCGACCACGCGCATCCGAACAGTTACAGGGAAAAAAGAAATTGTTTCTGTATAATAATGTTTCTCTCTTTCTAATTGGTTATTTCTTTTTATGTTATTATTATTAAATTCAATTGCCAAGTGTCGGTATGTAATTGGACAAGAGGTACAAAGATATCAAAAGGCAATCACTTGGAGATAAGGACTCGTCGCATGTGCGGCCTGTATAGGTTTTTCTCCTTTAATTTTTTCTATTTATTATTTTCCTATTTATTTATCCATTTATTGGTAACTAGGATTTTAAAAACTAAAATAGGTCTTGAATTTTGGCCCAATTACTTCGTACGCACCCCTTTATTTATATATATATCTCCATCTTAATTGTAATTTATTCTGTTGTTAACTAATACATTATTATTTAAATTCTTTTCTTTTATTTATCTAATTTAATTAATTAATTATTTTATTTTTAGTTAACTTAGTTAGTTAGATCAATTAAATTGTCTAATTTTGTTTATAGCCAACGATATATAAAAATAACAAAAATAATTACTATACTTATACATATTCAAATATTTCTTCAAATAAAATTAATTCGACCGTCCAAGAAGATATTTAAACTCACGCGACTAACTACATACTCCATCCGTGAGCGACATGTGGTCAATATTTGGCCACATGATGGGGAAGGTTATATCAGACTCCCTCCACATCCTTCATGACGAGCAACACGCGACCAATATCTGACCACATGATGAAGAGACTATATCAGACTCCTCCGCTCTATGTCATACCATAATCAATCGACTTCAAAACAGCTAACCAACAACAATTCATATATTTTTCTACTAACTTAACAAAAAAACCAAGATGTTTTCGAAAAGGGATTAAGGAGAATTTCTCTCGAAATTAACATTCGAAATCAATTCTACGCAATCCTATAAAAAATGGAGACTATTTCCAGCCTTTTCCCTTGACTTACTGTATGATCCAAACAACCTCTGCATTCCCGTTCTTCGGAGTTCTTTAAATATAATTGTAATTATAGTTACATGTTAAAAATTAAACTTCAAATATAAAGTTAAATAATTATTTTTTAGTCTATTACATATAAATGTCCAACAATATATTAATAAACTATAAATAATTAATAAAAAAGACAATTCAATTGAATGAAATCAACTGTATACATTAAAAGTATTGGTATAATGAAAGATAAATACACAACAAAAATTTTGTATTTTTTTAAATACACGATTCATCATCTAACTCATAGAAACATATTAAATCATCATACTCATTACCTTCTCAAACTACTAAGACATTGTAAAATAGAGAGTTTCATCTTAGATCTTATGCCAACTGTGATAATTAGTTACTTATTGCGTGAACAGTCCAAATATAGAACATATTCAATCCATAAAGATGAAAATACATTTTTGGAGATGATGAAAAAAATGAAAAGTGAAACAATAAAAAACTACTTAAATTTTATATATTTATTTCATATCATTAAAATATGATGTGACACTCTTCAAATTTTATCAATAAAAAACTTTTAATATTCATTTTAACATTGCTTAAAATAAAATGGTTAAATAATACTTTCAAATTTAACTTATAACTTTGCAATAGACAAACAAACGCTTTTCTAAAATATAGTAATTCTTAATTGTAATTAAAGTTACATGTTAAAAATTAAACTTCAAATATAAAGTTAAATAATTATTTTTTAGCTTATTGCATATAAATATCCAACAATGTATTAATAAACTATAAATAATCAATATAAAAAGACAGTTCTATTGAATTAAATCAATTGTATACATTAAAATTATTAGTATAATAAAAGACAAACACCCAACAATATTTTTATATTTATTTTAATACACTATTTATCGTTTAACTCATAGAAACATACTAATTCATTATACTCATTACTTTCTCAAACTACTAAGACATTTAAGTACGATGTGAGTTGTTCGAATGTGAAATGTATTCAATCCATAAAATGATAAAAACATATTTTTGGTGATGGTGAAAACACTAAAAAAATATCAGTTGCGACGTGAAAATCATGTCACAACCTCCAATATCACGTCACAATCGTTTTTTTGCGACATGATTGATTACATCGCAGGGGAGCGTGTGACAACTTTTTTGCCACATAATTTTCACGTCACTAATTAGTAACATGAAAATCACATCGCAACAAGTTTACACAAAAATCACAATATTTCAGTAGTGGCAGGCATAGTAGGTAGTGGTCACAACAGAAACTTGTTTTGCCACATGATATTCACGTCACTAATTATTTACTTTGTTAATAATTTATTTTGTTTTACAAGGTCACGTTACACTACACCTGAATGTTGCAACGTGATTTACATGTCACAATTTTATGACATGGGAATCACGTCACTGATTCTTTTCTTTTTAAAAAAAAATTAATTTGTTATATAAAATATAAATTAATAAATAAAATTAAAAATTAAACTAAAAAAAATTAAACTAATAAAATAAATTAACAAAATAAATATATAAATCTAAATGAATTTAATATAGTAGATTTAATATGTTACACAATTCAAAATTAAAAGAAAAACAATAATAAAATTAATTCAACGGGTCATCTGAGTTGGTATAGTTGTCAATATCAAAATCATTTTCGTTCTTGTCATCCACCGACTCTTGACCATGAATGTTTTGATTTTCACCAAACGCTTGCATAAATTGTCTGATTTACTGCTCTGTATCAGCACGCCTCTTTACCATGACCTCCATTTGCCGCTATTGCTCTTGCCCCATTGCCTCCATTTGGGCCTTTATTGTCGCCTCACGTTACACTGACTCGCGCCTCACCTTATTTAACGTCAATTGTCTTGCTATTTCTGGTTGTTCTGGTGTTAAATTTGGTTGACGTGACCCCATTTCCCCATCTCTAACTCTTTGAAATAAAGTTATATCCCCACTTCTCAAGGTGCCCGTCAAATTTCAACCATAAAAAAATAATTGTTATGCCCCTTTCCGCCATTGACTTTACTTCAAATATAAAAATCCACATCTGGATGAACCGACTCTCCCTCTCTCGGAGTATATTGAAGATTATGAGTCAGAAATTCTGTGAGCAATGTCTGATAATCCTCCTACACATTCAATAAAAAAACTAAGTTAAATATAAATAAAATTAATATAAATAATATATGAAATATAACCATGTAATTTTCACGCCACGACTTCTCAATTGCCACGTTTTTTTCACTCCACAACTTCTCAGTTGCCACGTAAAAATCACGTCACAAAGCTTCCATTAAATTAAAAAAATATATAAACAACGTAAATTAAATAACTTACTATAGCTTTTAGTGTACATCCGTCAACAAAATCCCATGTTTTCTTTGTCCGGGTCTTTTTAACCAGCTTAATCATCAGTGGTGGTCTTTCCAAAGTCTTAGTTTAAATAATAAAATTAACTTTAATTAATTAAATATATTATGAATCAAAATATAACTTAAAAAGTAGTAATAATTACCATGCGTCGAACATGCTCAGCGGTACTTATACTTCCAATTGCATTAAGGCAACCCACTTTTTCAGATGCTCTCATCTTCTTTGCATTTTCAGATTTAGCCTGAAATGCTGGTGTCTCCCAATATTTAAGAAGTTCGTCAAAGACTTCTTTTCCTATCCAATTGGGATGGATACCCAGAAGTTCCCAACACTGTCTAACATGCTGCAGTATGTTAGAAGTCATCTTGAGGTTCTGCCGTAATAATTTATTTTAATCAGCCTCTCGTTTATTGGGTCCCACACACATTTTTCCTGCAATGTTATATGACATTAAAATAAATAGTTAGATAATTATAATGAAAAATTCATTTAAATAACAATAACTAAAAAAATAAATTAATTATACCTTAAATTTGTTAAACCAAACTTCTTTACTTGTAACGTCTTTAAAACTCTTCCAAAATTGTTTATACATCTGCTGAATTATATAACTTATAACCTTGGCAGCAATGCGACTCAGCACGAAACTAAACAACAATAATTTTAATTAGCAATGTTAAATATAAACTTATATTAAAAATGGAAATGTATACTTAAATAAATATTTATAAACAAGAAACTTACGAGCTTCCTTCAGACCAAATCTAAAATTTCTCGTTAGTGAAATGAATCTAACTCGGATAATCATTCCCTCGAATATCCTTTCCATCCAACTCATCATTATCCCTATCCAGATAATCATAATTCGGCTCTGCATGATCATCGTCATGTGTAACACCCTTCTAACCCACATATATTTCGCATATAATTTCTTGAAAATATAGAATCAAAGAAAGGCCACAGAAGAGCATCACATCTTCATAAAACATCAAATAATGATTAATCATGCTCCGTAACACGAGTTACAAAGAAAATAATGTAGATATCATCTCTAGAATCACAACTAATTCATTTTGAACTTTGCAGTGGAATTAATGAGTCTTAAATATCTTCATAAAATAATCTTGATAACATGAAAGGTAGTTCAAAAGGGTAATAACATCTTCACACCTATGATTTATAATATCATATCCTAAAACATTGCAAAAGTTATGATAGAAATACAAAATCTCAAGATAACAAAATATGAAAGACTCACAACCAATCGATCCCAATCCCGATTGTGATACGGTGGCAGAACCGACTGTTATATTGGTTTACGTTTTTTGTGTCCCAAATGTTGCGGTAAGTAAGAGTCGCCACCGACTTTTATTTCATCCAACAAAGGAAAAGGAAAAAGAACAGAAAAAACCTTTTTCGAGATGTTTTTGAGTACGGGGGGGTAGATTATAGAAAGGGAAAGTGTTAGCACCATTTCTATCTGTGGTTTTCCACGGGCTCTTAGGTAC